GTTACTGCCGCAATATTGTTTTTCGAATTACTAAAATTCCCTAAAAAGGATTGGATTTTTTCCAAGAAGAAATTCACGAGTAAACAGATTATTTGCTTTCTTCGAATCGAAACATTTCAAGTTTTATAAAAACATGCACTCGAACTTGATCTCGTATGATCTGCAATCAACTTTCCGATTATATAAAATAATCGCGAGAACGCTGCACGTATTGTATATAATAGATTTTAAGATTGAATAAAGATATTGCAAAACTTTCAGTCAATAAATTCTAAATAATTTCACGCTTCAGATACCGATTTCAATTTCGTTGCGAATGAATCGTCGTGCGATCGAAGTATCCAAAGGCGCGTGTATTATTATAAGCTTGGATGATGATTGAATTGACAGATGGACTTTCGATTTGCAATTCTCAAGTGACTTAACTCACCTTGAAAGCCTCCCTAAATTTGTTGGACATGATGTTGTAGAGCAGTGGATTCACCGTCGTGGATAGGTAATAAAACACGCCGGACATGTACGTGAGGATAGTGTAGACTATCACTAACGCGTCTTCCGGTTTAGCGTTGCGCGCACTCTGCGCGTAAACAGCCAACAGTCTCTGGGCGTGGAACGGTGCCCAACAGATGAAGAACGCCACCACCACTGCAACTGAAATCATCAAATCTTTGTTGTCCCATTCCTGCAAAACGTGTCGACATTTAAACCAGATACAATTTTGCCAACGAACATACATAATAAAGAATATGTCGAGGGACTTTAGAAACTTTTTGTCGAAATAGTTAATCCTTTCAACGAAGAATTGGAAACGAACGACTTAAGACAAATCAATTAAATTTGTTCGTTTCATATTTCTCTTTAGAAAATTGCTCGTACACTTTTCTCGGCTATATACGTATATGATTATTTTCAAATTTTTCCGACAAGTTAGATAAAAGTTAGTAATTTTACTAGGTAGAATGACATTTAGATTCAAGGTGTAAGACTTGTAGGTAAATTCAATATTTTAGTATTTCCATTTTGTATATTCTCTGTGCCAAATTTCCCTATTATTTCGTTGAGTAATTTTTTTTAGCTCTGGTACAATTTAGTCAGTCTCCGGGATTTGAGTTCGGGACTTGAGCTTTTTACAGCTCAAGGTGTTCGAACTCAGAGAGCTGTAGCCCTCGAAGCTCGAGATGATGTAAGATCATGTAAAGAGATCATATTTCCTCCAATCTTAAAGAAACTTTTCAATGGTAAAAAATATTGGATTGGATTTAAGGGTGAAGCTTTTTTATTGGGGTACTTCGAAACGCCAGCAGAGAATTATAGTATTTCAATCTCACGCGGTATAGTAGATTTATTTCATCTCACTAAATTATTAGCTAGAAAACTGCATCCGTTTTCATTCGAACTGTGTTTTAATTTACAGAGTATATTTTTTTCTGCAGAAAAAAAATAAAATGCGTTTATTGATGATACTGTGAATTCCATGTGTCCACGAGAAATTCGTGATGTACAAAAATATGTGAAATATTCAAGAAATGGTGAAAGAGAAACAATTCCCGGTTCCATTTTTTTTAAATCATGAACTCGCACAAAGACTAGTTTTGTATAGTTGAAAAAGAAATTTGTATTGTAGCAGAAAATTCAGATCTCGAGAAATAATTAGAGTCGTCTGCAAACGTAATTATTCGCAAATAATCTCTAATAAGTTGGTATTAATTCCTGCGATTAAACTACTTAATCTGTAAGCTTCAAGTCGCATTCTTTCTTTGATTAATTCAGGTTTTACAAATTTCTGGAAAATGAAAATTATAAAATATTGTGTATTTTGTATAAAATATATATTTCAAATACAACATATATATATAGATATATATATTGTATTTTGTTTTTTACTGTATATTTTGAATATATTATTGTGTGTGTGTATTGTGTATTGTATTTTGTTTTTTACTATATATTTTGAATATATTTTGTGTGTATGTGTGTGTGTGTGTGTGTGTGTGTGTATATTGTATTTTGTTTTTTACTGTATATTTTGAATATATTATTGTGTTTGTGTGTATATATATGTGTATTGTGTATGTGTGTATATATATATATA